TATCCACTAGGGTTTGATTCCTGGAGTCCCTGTGGATACCAAAATTCATGGATGCTTATGTCCCATTAAATACAATGGCATAATAAAATGGTGCCCCTTACATAAAATGAGAAAATCAAGTTTTGCTCATTGGAATTTATATATATTTTCATACCATGAATGGTTGAATCTGTGGATAACAAACCCATGGATACAGATGACTAACTGCACTTACATTTGGTGGTGAGGGGAACCTAATGGCTGTAGTACATTAGATTTGTAGCAGGTCCCCAGTGGCTGTCTCTAGTGTAAGCCTTGCCCTGTCCCAATTTTTTGAGTAAAGACTAGGTCTGAGACCTATTACTCACATTTCCCACAATATTGGCAAAATTGGCAATATTGGCAAATTTAAGTAAATAAAGTTAAGAACCCTGTTGGGACATTACATGAGAATAAAAATAGTTATAGACACAGTTGCTGCTGTGGTCCCTAATGTAGGGACAGTTGCACAGTGTGGTCCCTAATGTAGCAAGCACACACCACAGTCTTCTCACTCATTTTTTATTCGATGGACTGCACAAGATGTGAGGTCTAGGCTGAGGTGACTGTTGAACAATTGGTTGTGCAACTGGCAGATTCAGCATAGCCACACTGGTTCATATATATGTGTACAGGTTCTTGTTCTAAAATGGCAGCTTTGGAAGACTACTCTAGGCATTGCTTCCTGCCAGAGTCCACCAGTGTAAGAGACTCCCTACAAATTTGAAGCTGACCCACCTGAACATTTCTGGGATGTTGAACTGCATACTTTTAAAACATTTAAAGGTGACTAAAACTATATAGACTATACCCATGGTGGTGAACCTGTGGCACATGTGCCAGAGAGGGCACACAAACCATTGCTCTTGTCACTGCAGAGGCCAGGAGGAACGAGGGAGAAGGAGAGCAGAGCATCATGGCAGAGGCCACGTTGAGAGAGGCATTGGTCTCCCTTGGTGGGGAGGGGAGGGGTGTTAGGGAGAAAGCCTTTCCAGGTAGGAGGGGTGAAGGAAAGGAGTACTCTATTTCTTCAACCCTCCCACTCTGGAAAGATGGGAGTTGTCCTGCCCTCCAGAATTCCTGCCTTATCCCCTGGCACTGGGTGACACCCAGTGCAGAAATACCACTGAGTTTGGGCATTTGATCTCTAAAAGAAATGTCATCAATGGACTATACCCTTCAGTGTTGTTGAAAATACTTTGAGGTTTCTGCCTCCAACAAAGGTAAAGCTTTTTCATTTGAACTACAATTGGCAAATTTTACCTATCCAGCACCAAAATGTTTTTCTATCAAAGAGAATTCTTCAGAAATTAAGTGTTCTCTGCCTAAGAAAGGTCAGTGATCCTTTTACTAGACAGAATTTCCCTAGATCTCAATGGAACTAACATCACCACTTTTCTTCCCCTGTGTGATTTTTAACATCTTTGATGAATAAGCCAATGAAGCTCTGAAAGCCTACATAATGTATTTGGTGCATTTTCGTTGGTCAATAAAGGTATAATTAGTTTGTGGATTTTGTATTTTGTTGTATTTTCTGGCATGGCCAAAACAGCTACCCCTGAATATTTCATCTATTGGTTTGTACATTAACTGATTTTAGTAGTCAAATTTGCATCATTCAAAAAATATGTGAAATTGGATAGAGTTTATTACTGCCTTTCTCTGAGGCTGAGAGAGTGTTTCCTGCACAAAGTCACTCAGGCTGCTACCACACTGCAGATATAAAGCGGCTTGACACCCCTTTAATTGTCATGGCTCCATCTTATGGACTCCTGGGGTTTGTAGTTTATTGTGGTACCAGAGTGCTCTGTCAGAGAAGATTAAATATCTCACAAAACTACAAATCCCAGCATTCCATAACATGGAGCCATGGTTGTTAAAGTGCTGTCAAGGGCTGTCAAACAGTTTCTATGGCTGAGCAGGCATTTGAAACCCTAGTCTCTCAGAGTATTAGTCCAGCACTCAAATCATTATACCATTCTGGCTCTTACATTACTTTTGAAATGTGACTTCATTGTGCTCTCATTTTTTGGAGGGGAGACCTCTTATCATAATTAACAGCCTTATTTTCCTTTGTTATTTCTGCCTCTATGCCCCACCGAAGTCTGTGGGGATTACTCCTGCGTAGACACAAACAGAACGATGTTGCAAAATTCAAAATACAGCTATTCAAAATACAAAATACAATTAAGGTCAGTAAGCTAATATCACAAACAACACACTTGACCTCTCAAGTTTTATTTCTAATGTGTGAATTCACTATCTGTGTTAAAGTCATAGAGAGTGAATCTGGCACATCAGGTATTCATCTCAGACCCAGCCTTTAACAACTTGGAATCAGGTCATTTATTATAGTCCATAAAGAAGGCTTAAGAATATACTGCTTAATTGACATTATAACATCTTGGGGGTGTAACTGCTATTTTTAATTCTGCTATAGTTTTAATTTGTGGTAGCACATTTGTCTAACATGCATTTAAATATGAGAATAAAGATACTGAAACTATCTTTTGGAATGTATGTTCTATTTTTTTGTTTTTTAATGGAGAGTTTTTAATTAAACCTAGAGGGCTAGTAGCTTGTCCATGTGACCCTACCATAAGTTCCATATTGTCTACCTGAGGTGCATCAGACAGTGAACAGTAAAGGTCATTCAGCACTGATTAACATTAGAATCTCATTTAGGTTCTTTAGACCTTAAGGGCATTCTAACTATTCACAATGCAGTGGTTTCATTTTATGTTAATGGAGAATGCCTTTAGAAACTGGGGGTAATACACTGCTCTCTCTGAAAGATAATAACAACACAGAAAGGTTGAACATTCTCCATTGTGGATGTAAGTTAGCTCTGGTGCTAATGAAAATGTATTTCTCAGCAGGGCTGTGTCTACTGTTAGGCAGAGAAAGGTGGCTGCTTCAGACAGAAAATCTTAGGTGTCATAAAGGTACTACAAATGGCTACCTATTTCCCTATAATAGTTTTTTAACTGTCAAGGGTGTGGAAAGATACTTGTAGGATTTCCTCCATACTTTTGGGTACCATACACTTTGACTTGAGTGGATGGACAGTCCATCATTTGCTACTCATGAAGAAAAATATCTTGGGTTAACTCTATTGTTGTTGTATGCCTTCAAGTTGTTTCCAGCTAATGGTGGCCTATTATGGAGTTTTCTGAGGGCTGAGAGTGTGTGACTCACCCAAGATCACCCAATGGGTTTTCATGGACAAGTAGGGAATTGAACCCTGCTCTCCAGAGTTGTAGTCCAATGTTCAAACCACTATGCCACACTATTCTTATTGACTCAGCTGAATTATCCAATGAGCATGTATTCATTGGAAATAATATTCTCTATAATAACATGATTTTTTTAACGTATTCCATTTCTCTGCATTTGGCATTGGTGACTTGTGGCTTTCACACTAGTGGGGTGATGAACCCACAGAAGGTTTTAGTCTGAAATTTAGGTTGCAACTAGACTGAATGAAAAGTCTCAGATTTTGTTCCTGTTCTTTCCAATTTTATACTGGGTTAAAATAAACTAACATGAGAAGCTAGTATCAAAAGGTTTGTATCATACTGGGAGCCGAGAGAAAATATTCAAGGATAAACAAAATGTGTATGAACCTTCAGAATAAAATAGGAGAGAACAGGAACAAAATCTGGAAGTTTCTGGTCTTTTTAAATGAATCTGGATGTGCCCTTAAAACAGGGGTAGGCAACCTAAGGCCCGGGGGCTGGATGTGGCCCCCCAAGGCCTTTGGACCAGCCCCAGGCCAGTCCTGCCGCCGCCAGCGCCGCCGCTGCCCCCCGCTGCCACCGCCGCCCGTCATGATGATATTGATTATTGTTGTTACTACTTGTTCTTGGGGTTTTCTTGGCAAAATCTCCACAGGGGTTTTGCCATGGCTTTTCTGGGGCTGAGAGGGTGCACATGCATATATTTTTTTTAATTTTTTAATTTTTATTTATTTATTTTTGTTGCTTCAGCCCCCCAATTGTCTGAGGGACAGCAATCTGGCCCCCTGCTCAAAAAGGTTGCCTACCCCTGCCTTAAAAGAATCACGCAAGTTGATAAATCTATTTGAGGATAGGTTTCAGGAAGCCACCAACCACCAGGAGTGTTCAGTGCTGAGTGGGAGGGAAGTTATGTCTTTGTTTCTTACCCTACAATATTTGAGATTTTTAGCTTGTGTCATTATATTTAGTTGCATATAAAATAGCCCAAAAGCAGAGCCCTTGAAACAAATTCATATAAATCAAGACAGGGAATCCTCTCCCCAGATATCAGTTCCAAAAAGCCCTAGCCAGCATAGGCAATGATGAGGAATGGTGGGAATTCTAGTCTAACAAGATTTGGACAGCCACAAGACCCCCCCCCCCACCACCACCACCAGCCTGGAATAAGAACAATGTAATTCAATATGCTTATTCAGAAAATACATTTACACAGAAGATTGATTGAGGCCAATGGGACTTGTTGTTTTGAAGAAGAGCCCTCCCTCCATTACCATCTGATGTCATCTGGGGGAGA